GAAAGTAAAATGTAGGTAGATTTATCTCCACTACACATTTTTACCAGTATAAAACAATAAGTTATACACGTAATATTTATACATCGGATACAATTCAGATCACCTTCAAAACTCAGTCACACACCCCGGGCTGTTTCAAGGAATTTTGGGGGCCAAGGCAAAACAGAACACCCCCCTAACACTAACCCGTACATAATAGACATGCCACCATTACATTATTAGCAGCAGAAATTAAATGTTATTACCATTTCTAATACAAGTGCATGTTAATGAAAAGCATATTTTACTGGATAAATGTATGTGTTATTTTGGCTAAGATGAGTGTTATTAATACAAACCTAAACTGTTACTGAAATGTAGGTCAAATATTTAAAAATATTTTAACTACAAATATCAGATGGGAAAAAGGGAACTAAACACCAATCTAATGCATATTATTGAGTCTTTTATAATATTTTGCCTTTAAAAATTTGAGGCAGTTGAATGCACAGAGTATGCATGTGCTGGCGCATGGTCAGGATGGTACCACCTCTGTCTCTATTTGAGCCAGGAAAAACCCTGCATGTTATATTGGAACATCAACAATAAAAATCACCCCTTCCTTTAAAAGTTGTTGGGGTAAATTTGTCCTCTGCTGGTAGGATTGATTTGCCTACTTTGTTTACTTAATCTGACTATTATTATTTTGTTTCCCTTCCAGAAACAGAAAAAAGGATTTCTTGATCTGCAGAGTCTTGTGTATAGAACTTTGAACCACACCACGTGAAGGCTCTGTAGCAGTGGTAAGTTTCTTTTTTATATATTATACCAATTTGGAGATTTTTTTGTCATTGATGTATGCCTCGTTGGCTATTTGATCTTGACCTTCAATTGCTTCAGGGTTGTGGGCGAAGCCTTTGGAACTTTGATAACCTTTCCTCAGAGCCTGAGTGGGCAGGAATGGTTTAGGCTCCGCCCAGGGTGAATGTGACTTCACAAACACCAGCAGTTTTAGTCTGCCTTTTGTGATCTGCTACAGATGCACAGCAATTCAGATGCATAAATACCAAAAAATGCTATTTTATGATTTTTTTAATTGTTTTTTGTTTATTTATTTATTCAATTCAATTCAATTTTATTTAAAAAGCGCCAAATCATGACAAGAGTCATCTCAAGGCACTTCACACAGTAAATATTTCAGTACAGGTCAGTTCATTAAGCCAATCAGAAAAAATGTTTCCTGTATAAGGAACCCAGCAAACTGTATAAAGTCACTGGCTTTACAGCAATCCTCATACTAAGCATTTATTTATTTATTTTCAGCTTAATTTAATTCCTCTGGCATAAAAAAAATGCTACAAGAACAAGCTAAGAAAAGGCAAAAAAAGATTTTCATTGGAGTGAGTCTTTAATGAAACTGTTCTCCATGCTTTGTTAGTTCATAAAATAATTATTTGTCAAATTTTTTAAGGCCTTCATTGAATACTTATTTGCATTCCTCAGGCCGCAGATGAGGACTACCTCCAGACGTCCATTGAGGAGACTACCCTGGGAATCTATGTGGTGAGAAGTGTACTGACCAATACAGCGGAAGACATTGGGATTGTGCTTGAAGGCCAAATAGTATTCCAAGACCTGGATAACATAGCATTAGCTACAGCTGTGCTATTTGGACTCATCTATGCGCTGAACCTGAACTACCCTCCCAGTTTGAAGTACACATTTGAAGTACTGCAGAAACTAGTGATGGAGCTCAAAGGAAACACTCTTTCAAAGAAAGTCCAACTTCTCAAAAATAGACTCTGCGAGTGAGATGTTTTTACTGATGTAACCTAAAGAATTTTCCAGCCTTTAGGGGTCAATTTCCTGCTCTGTTTTCTACAGACATATTCTCTCATTCACAATAATTTTTCTTCTACAATTTAGTCGGAGTCAATGAGATTCAGAAACAACGTGGCCTAAACCATGCGATCAGACTTTAATTTATGGATCCATTATTCAGCAATGAGTTTATGAACATTACTTCCATGGATGAAGTCAGGACAGAGGGACAATTCGAATTATATCCACGACAGGGAATTCCTTTACAGGCTGAATTCCCCGGCACTTCAGCAAATGACTTAAATACTTGTGTTGCTGAAACATCCCTTCTTTTAAGTGGTTGTGTTGACATGGGTATTCTTGCCTCAAACGAATTGGATGCATCGAGTTCATCAGTTTCCAGGACATTCTGGCCCTCTGTGTTTAACATTACACGGTTTTCCTTCGACACAGAGATAAAGCTGCAGCGTGGAAATGCCAGACACAAAGAAGGCTAGGCTAACATGTAAGTTTTTTGTTTGTTAATGCAGGCAACTCTTTCCACAGTAATACATTACAAATATATTAATACATTAGTAACACAGTACTTTTTTGTAAATTTCTTGGGTTTCCTGGAAAAAAAATTTAGCTTGTGAGATGATGTTACCTTTTGTGATCTTTTAACTTGCTTCCTGTTGACAGGTTTTTTTTTTGTAAGTAATTTCTCAATTCAGAAGGTTTGCCAGTAATGAAACTTTGGTGTGACTTGTGAAAATGAGCCCCTTTTGTGACTAATCAGTTAGTTCATGTTTTTTATGAAGGAAGTATTTGCACAAAGGGTAAGACCAAATAGTCCTCTGTGATTTGGATAGTTGTCCAATTTAGCCAAATAAAGGCCAATTTTGTTTGGATAGCGTTAATTAAAAAAATGAGATTTTTTTTCCTAAGGTATTCTTGAATATAAAGTGTTCTTGATAATCAGAAGTAATAGATTAAGATTTCAGTTTGCTGTGTGTAATTTAAACTGTTCATGAGTGGGTATGTTTATTCGAGTTCCGGAGTAAAGTTTCCAGTATCCACTTTTAATATCAATAACTACCAGGTTGTGGGAGTACTCTGCTTTTGGCTACAGAGACAAATGTTTAAATTTGGTTGTTTTTTTACATCATTCTGTAAACTCAGTTTGTGATTGTAAAGCAAATTTTTAAACTCACAATACTGTTGAATGCAGTGGAGTTATGTTTCTTTAATTGTACCACAAGTATGGAATCGTATTTGTAAATTCAAATAAAACAATTGTGCAGATGATTAATCATGTACTTTGTTATTGATTATCCTATCAATACAAAATGTGGTTTGTGTAAGATAGCTGAAAATTGTGTTTTTTAACATAAAAAATCTTTGTATTATGAAGTTGAAAAAATCATATTTCTCACACTTAAAAATATCTATCAAACATGAAAAATCTCATGTTGATCAAACCTAAAAATGATTCATTTTATAAACTTAAAAAAATCAGGTTCCTCCCATATAAAAAATATGCTTCGAAACATGAATATTTCATGCTAAATAAACCTAAAAATACTTTATTTTATGGATGTTAAAAAGTCATACTAATTACACTTGAATAAAAGTATTTCAACAAACATTAAAGTGCCATGTTAATGGGACTTAACTTTGTTTTGTGGAACCACTGTCTATAATTTTTTTATGTCAAGAGCACAGATTTTTTTTTTCAGTGTACCAGTTTTTTAATCCAAAGCATCCTGGCACAGTTTCTAGCCAGGTTACAGGAAATAATAGTTAGTTTATCAGTTTTTTCCATTATTCAGCATCTCAAAATCCAGCCACTAATGTTAATGGTTCTTAAGGTTGAGGCAAGACAATTATTGGGTTTTGTTTTACAGCAAGATTTACAGCAATAGTTTTACAAAACCTATACTAAATATTTATAAATGGGTGTAACTGAACGTTCTAGAGCAAATACTTTATTTCCTGACTGATTGTTAATTTTAAGATTGGATCATATGATTCTAAGAGGTATGAGAGCTGCAGAATGCAGCACCCTGTGCTATTTATAGACTACGGGATTCTTGTGTGTAAATGTGGGTGGAGTCAGGCCCTCAGGCAGAACTTTCAGTCTCATTCTTCCCTGACCGTTCAGGAGAACAGGTCTCACGGAGGCCAACCATGGACTAAGAACTAAGACTGGACTAAGAAGGTACGCCCAAAACACCAAAAATATCTTTTCTAAAGTCACAAATTGCTTAAAACTGCATGTTACAGAAAGCAAGCAAGCCTTGTTTCCACCATGTGTGTGTGTATGCCGGCAGTAGAAAAAGAGGAAGAGAGAGAGACTCCAGTTACAACACGACCCAAAAGCTGATAAAATACTTCCTTTGTATAAACACGACCATGCAACTTTTATATTTTAAATGATTTCCTTGTCACCGCACTAACTACAAGTTCTTTTTCTATTGTTTTTCAGTCGGGCAAAGCTGGACTACGCCCAGTTTTTTCCAGCAGCTCCCTTTATTAAAAACTGCGTCATTCAACAGAGTATCCAGCCAGAAGCAGCATTTACTTCTCATGCAAGAAACACTCACTCACAGAGGCACAGAGAACATTTTTTTTTCTCAGTTTGTCACAGTCTTTTAAACAAAAGTAAGTCAGTCCGTCACTTATTTATTCTCTTTATATACATAAACGTCTGTTTTACCTTATCTTTTCTTAATCTCTTTGTTTCAGTTGGACTATTATTATTATGTTTCTCCTAATTTAAATTTAACTGACCCAAATTGGCACTTACTTTTCCTACTTTACACCAAATTGACAGGACTTCCTTTAACGGCTGGTAATTTTCAGAACTTAATGCCTGCTTTTAAGCAAGTCCTATTCAACCATTAGAGCAAGTCAAATTGCAATTTTTGTGAGCGCTCTGAGAAACAGTCCACATACTTATTTTCTACAGATCTGTTTCGATCTTACTGTTTAGCAGCTGCCTGACCTTCAATAAATGTATATCTAAATATTCTAAAATAAAGCTGTCATTTACAACTTTCCTTGTGTTCCTTGTTTTTTTTTTCCCTTTTAATCTCCAGGCCACTACATATATATATATATATATATATATATATATATATATATATATATATATATATATATATATATATATATGTATATATATATATATATATATATATATATATATATATATATATATGTTACTTTAAAACCTTTTATTTATTAACTTATGGTACTCTGTTCAGACTGATCAGAACAGGATTGCAGAATTTGAATTTTGCGTAACTTCAAACATTAAATTTAGCACTGCAGTGAACTTTACATATGCGAGTTGCAACTTTTAGAGCTCTTATTTATCTTATTTATTTTTCCTGGTACCGCATCAGGCCCTCACACTGTGGTTCTCTCTATTCAACCCCCACCTCCCCCCGATTCCGAGAAATGATGGGGTGCCACCTCCACCTCCTAATATGGTCAAAAGTAGTTGAGACTTACATAAGCTGGACTGAACAACAGGTTGTGGAGCACGTAATCAGCAGCTGGGCTGCCTGATAAGCAAAAATTTGCACCGCACGTGTGCGGCTGGAGTTGATAAGCAACATGTCAACATGCACGTACCCAAAAACACTGTTTTTAGCTCCTACAACACATCATCCAGCGCTGATCACCCACCCACGGAGCTCCCAAACCTCGGCTCTGCTTTTTGCACTCTCCAAGTGCTCAAACTGAGAGCCATACGCAGCCTCTCGCTGCAAACTCAAGACGTCTTCTCACAGGCCTCACTACTGCTTTGCAAACACTCTTAAATTTGTTACTCCTCGAGGACGAACCGAACTCAGCAAAGACTTCAACTTCTTATACAGGCCTCTTTTTCTCTTTTTACTTTGCCACAAACTCTTATTAAATTTACCAAACCCCAGGGGAAAGACCGAATTACAGGCAAAGCTCATTTCTCACAACTTCAGCGCTTTTTCTTCAGGATCCCCGTCTCTGCTCTTACCGAGTCAGGAGACTGGATTTCTCAAAACCTTGTCAGCTTTTCAGATTCTATTCCAATCTGCTGTCCCACCTTTCAATTTGACACTTAAAATTTGTCCGTCATCAAAATGACACAGCTGACTTCACACGGTGTGAATATTTTACCACTGTCAGACATGAATCCTCTCTCCAACTGATATTTATAGTATTATCAGAACAGGAGAACACCCCTGCCCAGTGACAGAGGCCACAAAAATGAACAAAAACATGCTCACCTGGGCCCTTAGTACGGACCTCAGCCACTGGACAGGAGCCAAGGGACGCCACGGAAAGTCCTCGCTGTTCACCCATCTGGGGTGCCAACATGTGGGCAATTTCTGTTATTCTTAAAGAAAAGAGTCGGAGAGAGTTTTTCAGTCGAGAACAGCGTGGTCTTTTATTTGTCTCCTCACATCTCAGGACAGCCGGAAAGACCCCGACAAAAGAGTGGTTCCCCTTTTTATAGCTCACATCTCTTCTGTGGAAACTGTGGGTGGAGACTTCTGTCTGGGACACAGCAACACTTTTGGAATCACATCAAGTATTTAGCAAGTCAGATAAGCTTTAAGCAATGTTACTGGAAGCAAGCAGAGACCAAAAAAGGAAATTCCTTTGGAGCTGATGTTGGAACAGCACACGAACTCTAGCCAGAAAACACTTTCAACCTAAGAACTCAGCTTTAACTCAATACATTTTGTAGATGACCTCTTGACCTTTTTGGCACCAACAACGTCACGTGCAGACTTAAGGTCTGTTGCGACGGACGTGCTGTGGGCTCCTGGAGTCAGGTAAACGGCCAGGTAACAGTGAGTGGGTTAGTCCACATAGTACTGTTGTCCAAAACGTTTTTTTTTTTAATCTTTACTAATCACAATTCCTTAGGGGTACATTAACATGAACATGATTACTAATCACTGATTTACATTTTAGTACTGATTTACATTTCTGTTTTTTATAGTATCTTTGAAGTTGATTTAAGAGTGAATATTTCTTTTGTGATTATCAATTCTTTGATTTATCTCACAGGGCTATAACCAATTTTGCCCCTGTCCTGACAGCGTGTATTTCCAGTGAGGTTTCACTGATACCAGTTAGGGTTTCTTTCATTTTTCTGCTTCTCGCATCATCCTTTTTGCACCTAACACAGACAGGGCTGCATCCATTTCTTCACTTAATGGGTAATTACAAATAAAACTAACACATAGTACAACAGGTACTCATAGAGTTAGGTTTTTCATTTTTTTTTGATGACATGAAATGCAATTTTGTCGTGTCTACATTGAAGTGCCTGCACTGTGCTCTCTCTCCTCTGCTGAGCTTGTGAGGATCCTGCTTCCTGGGGGTGGATCCGTGACTCGTCATCTGCATCGACTACTCCTGGGGGGTGCTCCGGCTCGTTGGCCTTGGACGACTGTGGTTCCGGCATGGCTGCTGGGACACCTCATTCATTGGGATTACTGTCAACTGCTCTTCCCTTTTTGTGGATTACGATAAGTACTCTTTCAAAGTTCAATTTTTATTTGGAATATTACCCTGCCTGCGGATACAACGATCGATTTTTAATTGGAATACTACCCTGTTCGTGGATACGTACAAGATTTGCTCCTGCTTTGCTTTATTGCCCGTGAGGATATAAAGTTGCTGTTGCTTCGTTTATGGCTTCCATGGGGAATAATTAATAACCTGCTGACTTGTGTTCTTCCTGAGGAGTATGCGAGACTGTTCTTCGGCGTGGGGTTCGTACCTCACCACAGATGGCTGTTCCCTTGGGATCACATCCTGTTCTGTTGTCAAGATTCTTCATAACTTGGGTTTGTTCAACGACCAAGTGGTCTCTTGAAGGACCACACTGACCTTGAAAAGGGGGGATATGTAACGTTATGAACTTCAGAATTTTCAGCTCCACACAGCTGCCCCTGTACACAGTAACACCCGTGTAGAAAACGCCAAGGTCGGGTGTTCCTCAGACTGTTTACATTCCAGGAGAAGAGCCAGAAGGAGAAGAAGAACGCTTTTCAATAATCAAAGTACTTAATTTGTGATTAAAGCTATTCGAAACATATGTTGATCAATAATAATCAAGTGAATGATCTGTGGAATAAAGATGTCATGATTTATGTGTTTAATGAAAACAGGACTACTGCACAGACAGACTGACCCTCATCTCCATAGAAACGCATGACACATTGTTCCAACCAATCAGAGCTTTCGGCTGCCGCAAGAGAATCTGGCTTGTTGACTTAAAGTGTCCATTCCGCTTTACTAAAACTTATCAACAATTCAGAGATATAAAACAAGGCAACGCCATTTTAAGCTCAGTTCCATTTTGACTTCAGTTCTATTCACCGTCATCCCAAAGAGAAGCACAGCCTGGCCAGATGTGTTTTCTTCTTTAAACTAAGAACTGTGAAGTTGGAGATTTTCGTCGTTTAACAACCAGACGACATCATTTCAAAATAAGAGCACCTGCTGACGCTGCCGATTGTTACCTGGGTCGACCCTTCAGACGGGCTTTGAAACGCTGTGACCGCGGTTTCGACCAGCTCCAGCGCACATCCGAGGTCTTCAGACCTGGCATTTCCTGATCTACCTGGGAGGCCCCCACTGGGTACGTACACGGCAAAATAGCAGCTCATGTCATCACTTTATAAGCCTCGTGATATCTAGTCATAACAATCAGACTACCAGATTCAATGACGTCAGCCTAAGGAGTCTGAACCAACCACAAACACACACACACATCGAACATCACATTCATTTCCAAACAACACAGAGTTAGTCCTGATAGATTGTAGAATTTATAATAAAATTCTTAAACGATCCCAACTCTCTCTTTTCTTGTCTCAAGGTCAATACAGAGTGTTAAATGAACTCCCTGATGATAAAAACAACCTATTCTTCTGATTATAAAAACTAGATCTACTTACAGTATATTAAAATACAACTCTAGATCGTTACATCACTCTATTTCTCTACAGAAATAATAATAAAAGTTGGGTAAATCCAGTCCTCCTCTGTCTTTGGTTTTCTGAAGCGTTTTTAAGCTAATTCGTGGAGGTTTATCCTGCCAAAGGAATTTTGTAATTGAGGAGTCCAGAGATTTAAACCAGTCAGCTGGTGGTTTGTTTGGGATCATTGAAAATAAGTAATTTATTCTGGGTAAGACTATCATTTTAATTGTAGCAACTCTCCCCATGAGTGATATTGGTAAGGATTTCCATCTTGCAAGATCATCTTCCTTCTTCTATCACTGGCAAATAAAAAGTGAGACAGATGACACAACCGCCCCCCGTACTTGCTTGTTACCGCATTCCACCCGGCCACAATAAAAAAAACGGCCATTAGTCACCTCCGCCGACTCTGACACTGGCCAAAAATGATGCCCGGCAGTTAATTAAATACAGGCTAATATCAGAGGACTTACGGTAATTCACCACCTGCTCCTCTTGCTATAAAAGATCCATTCAGCTACCCAGTCATTGCCAGATTATTGAAAGCTTTGCAAGTAAATTCTCCAGCCTGTTTACTCACCTTGTCTTCTGATCCCGAACCCTGCTCCGTTCCTGACCTCGTCTCTTGGATTTACCCTGTCTGCTCCGCTGCTGCTCTGATCCTCTGGCTCCGACTCTGCTCCGTCCCCGACCTCGTCTCTTGGAATTCCCCTACGGACTATTCTCTATTTCAGATCTCCTGGTAACGACCTCCTGCCTCCTGACCTAGCCTCTGCCTCTCTCCTATTAATAAACATCGTTAAACTGTCATTCTTTGTTGGGTGTTTTTACGGATCCGCCAGTCAGCTCGTGACAGAATAATCTGGCCACAATGGATCCGACCCCAACATCAGAGTGACGTGTTAGTGTGGAGACGGCTATAAACAAACTGGAGAACAAGACTGAGGACATGCTAAACCTGCTACGAGCTAACCAACAGAGATCACCGCCAGATGCTTCCGGTTTAACTCCAGACTCCGCCATCCTGCCCTGAAGTTCTCCTATTCTTGAGCCACGCCTGGTTCCGCCTGAAGTTTTCCGAGGTGAATCGAAGAACTGCCATGCATTTCTTACACAATGTGAGATTCAGTTTGAGCTACAGCCCTCCTCTTTTTCCACGGAGCGATCTCGAGTGGCATACGTCATTTCCTTGTTATCAGGATAAGCCAGAGTTTGGGGAACTGGAGAATGGGCAAGAAATTCTGGGATCTGTTACAATTACCATGATTTTGCTCATGAACTTATAAGGATTTTTATCCATTATTACCTGGTCGTGAAGCCACCCGCAAACTCATGACGTTAAAACAGGATAACAGAAGGGCCACGGATTACATCATTGACTTTCATGCTATTTCTGCTACCAGTGACTGGAATTAGCCCGCTCTTATGGACATGTTCTATCAAGGTCTTTCTGACAGAATCAAAGACGAAATGGCCACCCGAGAATTTCCCAAGACCTTGGTAGAACCGGAGAACCTAGCTACAAGAACTGACCTTCGACTCATGGAATACAGGAGAGACAGAACAACCCGGAATTTTAATCAGCCTGCATCAATCCCTTACCGTCCTGCTCGACAGTCATCCTCAGGTGAATTGTCTAAGGTTGGTGGTTTTTTTTCCACTCCCATCAGGACTGAGGAACCAATGCAACTTGGCAGGTCACAACTATCACAGAAGGGAAGACCAGAAGGAGGAATCTTAATCTGTGTTTGTATTGCGGCAACCTGGGGCACATGGTTCGGAACTGCCTGTTAAAAGGACAGACCCAGTAGATATCCAGAGGCGTCTACTGGGTCACATTAATCCTAAATCCTCGTCCAGACCTCCAGTAACTGCCATTTTTTCCCACAAAAACCAAGAGACGAAGCTCCCAGTATTTATTGACTCTGGCGCAGACACGGAGTTTATGGACTACAACATGGCCAAGACTCTGGGATTGGAGCTTCAACCCATGTCAGGAACTCAGGAGATTCTGGCTATCGACAGCCACACTATGTATCGTGCCACCCAGGAGACGGAGCCTTTAAATATGAGGATTGAAGGTAACCACACAAAGACTTTAAAATTTCTGGTTATTAAATCTCCAAGCATTCCTATCATTCTGGGCAACACCTGGTTACAAAAACACAACCCACAAATTGACTGGTACAAAGGAAAGGTTCTTCAATGGTCTGCTCACTGTCATCATAACTGTTTAAACTATGCTTCTCCTCCTACTCAATCTGTTCAGGATCCCCAATAAATCTACCCTGACCTTTCCAAAGTACCCAAGACTTACCATGATTTGAAGGAGGTTTTCAGCTAACATCGTGCCACCTCTCTTCCACCTCACCGCCCATATGACTGTGCCATCGACCTATTACCTGGTACTTTTCCTCCTAGGGGCTGTTTGTTTTCCCTCTCCATTCCGGAACAAACTGCCATGACCAAATACATTAAGGAATCGCTACAGGCAGGACTTATCCGACCATCCTCCTTCCCAGCCGGTGCTGGGTTTTTCTTTGTGGAAAAGAAACATGGATTCCTTAGGCCTTGTATCGACTATCGAGCCCTGAATGACATCACCATAAAAAATCGCTATCCCTTACCACTCATAAACGCCGCCTTTGACTCTCTTCACGGAGCCTGAATATTTACAAAACTGGATCTACGCAACGCTTACCACTTGGTTCGCATACGTGAAGGAGATGAATGGAAGACTGCTTTTAACACCCCCACAGGCCATTATATATAGTATCTCGTCATGCCATTTGGACTAACTAATGCACCTGCTGTTTTTCAGGCCCTCATCAATGATGCTCTTAGAGACATGGTGGGCAGTTGTGTGTTCGTCTATCTCAATGACGTTTTGGTATTTTCTCCTGACCCAGAGACCCACCAGACACACGTACATGCCGTACTCCTCCACCTCCTCCAGAATAACCTGTTTCTCAAAGCTGAAAAAAGTGAATTCCATTGTACCACTGTCTCTTTCCTTGGTTTCACTATCTCTCCCAATCAGATTGCCATGGATCCTGCCAAAACTTCTGCCGTTGTCAGCTGGCCCGTTCCCACAACCCGTAAACAGCTCCAACGATTCCTAGGGTTCGCCACCTTCTATCGGAGATTCATAAAGGGATACAGTAAGATCACTACACCTCTGCATGCCCTCACTTCCAGCAAGGCCAGTTTTCAATGGAATAAGTCAGCCACTCATTCCAAAAACTCAAAGACATGTTTACATCTGCACCGGTCCTGCATTTACCCGATACCACAAGACAGTTCATTGTTGAAGTTGATGCCCCAGCCTTTGGAGTTGGGGCCGTCCTCAGTCAGAAATCCAAGGACAATAAATTACATCCATGTGCATTTTTCTCCAAGACTCTTTCATCCACAGAGTGCAATTATGATGTTGGAGAGCTTTTGGCCATCAAACTTGCACTGGAAGAATGGCGGCATTGGCTGGAGGGGGGCTGTTACACCATTCATTGTGCACAGCAAATTGAAAAGAGTCTTACCCTGCACATATTTCCTGTTTAAAAATGCACCATGAGGAGTCGTTGCCTGGCCAACCAAGACACAAACTGCATGCCCACACCGCCTCAGGCTTTGAGATTCCCCGCTATCATACACACATTCACATGACACACCCATATACAAACACACCTTGATGGAGCATGTGTCCTAGTTCCTGATAACCACTCTAGCTCTTTAGCTTCAGAGCAGCCATTGGAGTTTGATGATATCTGTCCACCTCCTTTATCAAAGAGGGAAAAAGGCATTTTGGAGGAGCCAAGCAGCCCTGAGCTATATCGCTTTGTACCGATGGCTTGTGTTGCCCCAGGCTACTGGTGCAGAGCCATAAACACTCACTTGCTATTCCCATTCTAACTTGCTATGTATAATTGGCTGAGCTTCAGACTCTGCTGCTGACCACATATGGAAACGGTAATGTCACTGGGTATCTTTTAGCCAATAGCAATTGCTTATTAAAATTCAAACTTTTTATCTGAAGAGGGCGCTACCCTAACAGTTTTACACAGAATATTTATATTTTAAATTCGATTCACTAAAATGCCAAAATAGTGACTACACATGTCTACACCATTATTAGACAGTTATTTATAGGTTATCAGCAAAAAAAAAACAAAAAAAACCAAAAAAAAACTTGATTTCAGGATGAATTGATCAAATGTAAAGACTTTTCTTTTCTTTTCTGTAGGAGCACTTTTTTGATTCCAAAAGTAATGAAGGCTACATCGCTTGGAAACTAAAAACATGCAGCGTGAACTCCATGGTGGCAGGAGAAGGAGCAGCACAAGTAGAGATCCATCAAGCAACAGAGGACCACAATTTGGAAGACCCGTGACTGCAGAGCATCAGTTGGAGGGCGATCTGTTCAGAGAGGCCATTTCCCTGCTGAGGCACAGCACAGATGAAAGCCATATCTTCTTGAAAATGGAACAAACATTTAAGCACAGACAAGAACTAATTCAGGATTCTGAGAAGTGTGAGACCATCCTTAGTGTGTTCCCAAGATTCCTGGACACAAAAGGCCTGGTAAGTCCGCTTTGGATATAGCGTCTTAAGCTGCAGGCTTTGTCGTCTTATTTCAGAATAGTGGGTCATGACTGTTTTAATTAGCTCAAAAAGATTAGCAGACTTTAAAATGTCTTTGTTTGCTGAACTGTGCAGTTTCCAAATTTGTGTGTGGTTTTGTTTGTTTTTAAGGTGGTACAGGTTTTCCAGATGATGTTTGGAGAAGAAGTCTCACCAAAACTAATGGAAAAATGGGGAACCTCTTTGAAGGTGAAAGTCATCAAAGAAGCCAACAACCTCACAAAGACACCGGTCCTGGAGTCTCTCATTCAGTCTGCAGTGGAGAGCCCAGAAGGAAATGATGAATCAAGTTTACATTTGAATGATCTCTTCCCCACCACCACCACCATTCATTTTGGAATGCAAAAAGAAGAAATAACTATTTTTTTATTTCAAAATATCAAAACTTACTTGGCTGAAATGTGTAAGCTCAAGTAATGAATTTAGTGTGAATAACTGTTTTATTACAGTGTTGTTCTAGAATAAGCATGAAATGCATAGCTGACTTGATTTAAATCTTGTGCCAGCTTGGGACAGTGACATGGCAGCTCTGTTATTGCTGGTTTACCTCCTACCTCCACCACCCGGTGGGAAGAAGAGACCTGTAAAGGTCACCGTTCGAGAAGCTCTGAGCCATGTTGTCTGCTTTCACAAAGTAAGTGGCTCAAACTCATAAGTGTTTCAGAGTGAAGTTGGAAAGTAATCATCTGATTTTTCTGTTGACATTTTTCTTTCAGTCATGCCGCAACCTTCAAGAGACGACCAGTTCAGTCCAGGGGAGGCAGCCCTACATTCTGGCGGTTGGAACAACACGTCGCACCATCAATGACTACTACATTGTGGTGGATGGTCAGCTCATTCCCTGCAAGGCTAAGTCCTCTATTTCAGCCTTTGACGAACTTTTCAAAGTGCACTATGTGTTTGGCATCTCTTACGATCAGGCCCTGCACAATATGTATACATTTGTGCAGACCACCATTTATAATATAGATGTTGGTCTGTGTCATGAAAGTCCTAGGGTGAAGGATCTTAGAGCAAAGCTCCTCAACTGAATCAGCTACACAAAAAGATGTTTCGATGTTTTGTTTGCAAGTCTACCTTTTGCACTGTCAAAGGCTTGGTTTGGCATCTGAAGTTTTCTCCTGGATTTTACCCTGGTTTGAAATTTAAACCAGCCTGGCTGATAACCTGCACGTTGACATGAACTCTGAGGTTGATGTGGTATCTTGGGTTGCATGTTATGGAACTGAGTATCACCCTGGACTTGTTGTGTGCTCAAAGATTGAAGGGGTAATACCATGTATTCAGTCAAATAAGTGAAATTATTGTTTGTGCTGGTAAATATTTTCTGGCAGTGGAACACCTTGAGACGCTGGGATTTGCTGAGCATTTTCACTCGTACCATGTGGCAAAGGGAAGTGAGTTTGATACTTCTCTGTTGAGGGTTGATTTGTTGCAGTTTTTCAAACCATTTGATCTTCAGACAACTTACGGGTTTGAGAGGAATGATTTGTATGTGGTTCTTGTGCATGTGCTGTTATAGCAGACATCAAAAAAGTAAAAGATTTTTGTTTTAGGATAGGTCCAGTTTGGTACAAACTTGGGTGATAAAGCACCTTTGTTTTAGAGACAACACCAGTTTATGAAACAGATTCTGCTTCTTTGCATCATTTGTTCCTCATTTTGAGGTTCATTACTTGTACTCATGATTCATTGAACAGTAAACGTAAAGACCATGCGCTTAAGTGTCTGAAGGATGTCCTTGGGTTTCTCACAATTTTTGGAACAAATTGTAACACATTTTAGTGTTTCTATTTTCAAATAAATATTAGAAAATTCTGTGGTCAGTTGCTTATTGCTGTTCATTTATCTTTAAAGTGCTCTTGATTTCAAATTAAAATGCTGAAATGGACTATTTCAGTGATTAACTCCCTTTGCAGGGTGTTATTGGACTCCATATGGTCCACATTAGACACTGTTGGAGTTCTTTCTACAATTTAAGAGTAAATTTTACACCAAACTCAGTGATCATTTGGGTCCAAGTGTCCAGTGTTAAAACAACACTGGACACCGGAGTTAAACAAATAACACTAGAATAGTGTGGAATCTTTGACACTTTGAGAGTATAAATTAACTCTTTGGGAGGTTTCATTTGACTTTTGACAGAGTACATTTATACTCTCAAACAGCGCTGGACTGACCATAGGGCATAGCGGGCAACTGCCCGCTGGGCCGACCCTTTCATCTTTTATGGGCCGGTGTCTGTTTTTTTTTTTTTTTTCCTGGCCTGTAGTTGTTGCGGACAACTTGTCCGCGCCGCCCCACGCGACGCCTCGTAAAAGTTGGTGGATTGGCCAATTGGTAATAATACACTCTGGGCTGGACCAATAGCCAGAGGTCTGATGCACCCGCCAGTTGTTTGTGAATCTCAGTAAACAGACAGACGAGCTTTACAAATGGAGAACAAAAAACGGAAAGGAGGAGCGGAGAAAATTCGACTAAAAAAGAAACTGGCCCTTCAGGCTGATGCTGGCACATGTGTTAAAATCTCACAGTTGTTTGGTAGTGAAGGTTCAAGTAAAATCAATTTAGGAAGTGATGGAGCCTCAGCCCAGCGACAGGTTGGAGAAGAAAAGAGGGAGGAGGAGGAGAAACCCGAGCCGGTGTTGTGCCATAAATTGACTCGCTGCCAAAAAATGATTAGCCACCGCGGGATCGCGCACGGTTAGGTAATTGCATTTCTAGACAAAATTCCCCAGGATTTCGCCCTAAAACTCAGCATATCTAGCAATATGGACATTCAGAAAGCAAAGATAACCTCTTCCGGTACTTAAACAGATGTTTATCGCGGATATTAGTGTGGCAGTGTTTGTGGCACCCTGCGCGGGAGCACGAGGACGTGCTTGTGGAAAGGGAGGAAGATGTGGCTGTGTGAGCATCCACAATGTCCCGATTGATCATGCGCCCTGGCTACTCGGCCAAAGAGATGTCCCTTTGGCTGACTGGTAAGAGCGTATGACTCTCACTTTGGGAGTCTGGGGATCGAATCCCGCCCGGGCACTCGTTTCTGCACCTTGCCACATTAGGTTTTCCAGTTCGGAAGTTGTTTTAAGTGTTGCTATTTGTCTTAAACGTTCACAATGAGGATATATTAATCCTTTTTGCAATATTTGCGATTGAAAGATGGTTTGTGCCACAAACTCTGTGGTAAGAACTGGCTTTCTTTATGTTACAGCTTTGATACTAAAAAAAATAAATAAACAATGTAAAATGGCACCCTGTATTGAATGTAAACGTTGTATAAATGGAAATAAACAATTCTCCAGCGATTTAATTTTTTCCCCTTCCTTTCTTTAGTCCACTTGACATGGAGCCACAGTTAACTAGTTTGGGGCACATTTTTACTTGAAAAAAAGTATTTAAAATGATCAAGCTTTGGCTTTAATGACACTGTGTAGGTTACTATCTATACATTACGTTGCTCTATTTAAAAGTAACAAGATAAAAGCACTTCAGCACATAAAATTAAGATTGTCACTTACCAAATAGACTACACCCTCCCGTTTACCTATAAGAAATGCCTCAAAATATCTTTAAATTCTTTATTGATGATTTAATTGTAGACAACAAAAATGGCATTTTACTTGCCAAAAAGTGATTGAATTGCTAAGATTTTCATGGAGGCTAAAATTGACCAAATAAGGGTTTTATGTATTATCTGTTGATGTTACTGTACTCATACTGCCTACTGTATCATCATAAACACCCCAAAAATGGCAACAAAAAAAAAAAAAGAAAAAAAAGAAGATAAATTCCCTTGCCAAAAATTGATTACAGTGTCCTGGTCACCTGTAAAGGGTTACATTTACCTAAATATTACTTTATTTATTATCTCTTGATGTTATTAGTGCCATCACAGGATGCTGGGTGTCTTTCACATTCATAAACACCTCAAAAATGGCAACAAATGATCATTTCCCTTGCCAAAAATTGATTACAGTGTCCTGGTCATAGGCGTCATTTTAACCGGGGACGCCGGGGACATGTCCCCGGCAAAAATTGTGATTGGCAGCTGTGTCCCCCCCACTTTAAAAAAGCCTGCTGATGAGGATTTTTGTTTTACCAGCTCAGATCTTATACCAGGGGTCGGCAACCTGTTCCCATCAAAGAGCCATTATTACCCGTTTCCCACAGTAAAGAAAACACCGCAGCAGCCGCGGCGTTGTGGGCGGGGCCTACCCTCAGACAGCAGAGAGCTGCTCACAACCAGGTGACAGCAACAGGTACCGGTCGCTCGCATGGGCGTCGCACCCGTGGGGGATTCAACACCCACACCTTTCCAGCTGTTTTGCTCACCTCCACGCCAGTCTGGTTTCTTTATGTCGCACTCACTCTGTTTGCCTCATCTCCTTCTTCACCTCCGCTTCTGACAGCCAATGTCGGGTTTCCAGGAGAGCAGGAGAGGGAGGGACGGAAGAGCTCGACTGAATTCATAATTTTACATCTTGACATTAGCTGTACAAAGTCTGAGTTTGATAACGTGAAGAACAACAATTAGCAGAGGTTTATAACAGGCGCGGCGCCAGGTTTTCACCTTTGGGTGGGCCACGGTAATTCTGGACGGACCTTAATAAGCAGTGACTTAGTGAAGCAGGCAGGACGCGCTAGAAAATTTCGTTTAAAAAGACGTCATAAATGTGTTCCCCCGTCATTTTTATTTCTAAAATATGAAGTAAAAACTCCCAATTTAATTTTCATTCATTTGTCATTAATATGTAGTCTACACCCGTGCGTTAAGTGGACCATCTTCCAGTAAACGCAAAGCATCCAGCCCATCTCTCCAAATGCGTAAAATGTGCACCACAGCCGTTAGGCGCGCGCGCACCATCAGCTACATCAGCCCAGAGAAGAGCAGAGCAAATAGAATAGAGGATCATTCTGTCTGGATGTGGATGGAGATTACATTTTACAGCAGCCTGATCATCATTTAAATAAAACCATCACCTGTCTTCTAGTCCACGCTATCAGCATTATTTTAATTGGTGTGTGTGTGTGTGTGTGTGTGTGTTTTCCACTTCAAACACTGGTCTAACCAACCAGACCAGCATGTCCAGTAACATATTAATGTTACAATTAAACAGTTTCACTTCATGTAGGCTAGGAACGTTTCACCTGCCGTGGCCCGACCGCTTCTGCTCCACATAAACTTTGTGCGTGATCAAATGTCTCTACAGGTGCTCTCTGAGCTGAAGAGGCTGTTCTGCCTCAGACTGGATGCGTCATGCGTCTCCATATTAGAGACGGGAACAAGCGCTGTTCAGCCAAAGTTTAATAATTTCATAAAAAGAACATTTTTCCAAGCTCATCATGCGCATCAGTGTGCGTCGGGGTAATTCTTTCAAAATAGCCAGCATCCTTGAGTTTATCCATCAAAATACAGTCAAATGGAAATATCTGTAAGCTGCCATTTAACTGTTTTGCCTTCTTGTGAAGATTGTTGCAAAGAGAAACAACTAAACTTGATTAACCCCAGAGCCACGCGCAATGCGCTGTACCGACTGTAAAATGAGGGGAAACGATTTAATCGGATCCTTTTCTTTTCAACATGGTTTAATGTTAAGTTTCATTCAGTACAAACTTTAGTTACACCAATCTAACGAGACAGAGCCTGGATTTGTATTCTGAACAGTTTAAACATGTTTAAAACGGAGACATGCGTGACGCGTCTAAAATTCGCACCTGCTCCGCTGTTATGGAAATTAAACTAACAAGGTGAATAACATCAAATTATTTTAGGCACAGACAACATCCCCCACACTTTTGAAAATCTTGCAACGCGCCTGGTCGCTCGTGTACGTCAAAGTTATCTTTCATAAGAAGATAATCATAAAACGATTTATATAAAGATGATCCAGAAGTTGTAGCCCGTCTCTGCCTACAATATTTTGATATTTTTCACCCTGTTGGTGGTTTTACTGAGCAGGTGCCACTTTTGTCATACGTTTCTTTTAAAAACATGCTTAGACTGTTCAGAATACAAATCCAGGCTCTCAGAACCAGAGCGCATGCGGGAAGGTTCCTCCCACTGAAGCGAGAGTTTTCCAAACCTGGTCTCTCAGAGAGACTTGTCACTTAGAAAATGTTCCCTGATTATGAAACTTTGGCTGAATAGTGCTTGTTCCTGTCTCCAATGTGGCGACGCATCCAGGAACCTGTCTGAGGAGAATCCCAGAATCTGACATCCTCCAGCTCAGGAAGCGCATATGATTACGCACAAGCGTGACGCGTCAACCCGGTCTCACAGTAAGACCGGGTTGACCTGTTCAGGTTTACGCAGACAATCTTTACACTTGGAATTAGCATACAGATGTAAAATTAATGCAGTAAAATATAAAGCTTTTTATTTAAATATTCATTCATTATTTTATAAGCACAAAGAGCCGCATCAGATGGATGGAAGAGCCGCATGCGGCTACAGAGCCGCCGACCCCTGTGCTAGCCTACTTTATTGTCCCCAGCAATTTTTAAACCCCACTCAAGTGTATGGTTATTGTCCCCAGCAATTCTGAAAACAAACTGACGCCCTTGGTCCTGGTCACGTGTAAAGGGTTAAATTGACCTAAATATTACCTTATTTATTATGATGCTGGGTGTGTTCCACAATCATATTCGAATAAACATGAAAATATTCCGTCCGAATATCTGTTTCTTGTTATAAATATAACAGCTAGAAGGATTTACAGTTAAAATAGGAGAAACACGTGACTCCCCAGGAAGGGTCGTAACACCACTTGCCTCATGCACATAAGTGAACAAAACAAAGCAGCATGGAGACACTCCGTCTCCAACCACCTCTCAGGCAGCAGCCTGCACTCCCAAGTTCTACACATCACCAGAACATAACCAACCAACACAATAAAAGCAGTGTTATACAAAATGGAAGGCCTGTAGTGTTTATTCTCTTACAGTAACAACTTATCAACTTTTTGGAGGAATTTATTTGAGAATTTTTTGGTTTTTAGTAATTGTGCAATAGAAAAGTAATCGCTAGATTAATCATCTAAATAGTCATTAGAATAGTCGACTATTCGATAAAATAATCATCAGAATAATCGTTTTAAAAATA